ATTTTTTGGGGGGTGCTAATTTAAGTGGTATTGTGTTTTCTATTACAGATTCCTCTTGTTCATTGCCAGTATCTAGGAAAGCAATTGACTTTTATTTGTTAACCTTGTATCCTGTAACCTTGCTATAATTGTTTATTATTTCCAGGAGGTTTTGTTGTTGTTTTTGATGCTTCTTTCAGATTTTCTACAATCATGTCATTTGCAAACAAAGACAATTTTATTTCTTCCTTCCCAATCTGTATATCTTTTATTTCCTTTTTTTGTCTTATTGCATTAAATAGAACTTCAGTATGATGTTGAAAGTAAGTAGTTAGAAGGAATATTCTTTTCGTGTTCCTGATCTTTGTGGGAAAGCTTCGAATTCCTTGCCAGTAAGTATGATGTTAACTGTAGATTTTGGTAGATAGTCTTTACCAAGTTGACAAGGTTCCCCTCTATTTGTAGTTTACTGAGAGTTTTTTATCAGGAATAGGTGTTAACTTTTGTCAAATGCTTTTTCTGCATCTGTTGATATGATAATGTAATTTTTCTTCTTTAACCTGTTGATGTGATTAATTGATTTTTTTTAGTTTTTATTTTTTTATTATAAAGATGTGGGGTACAATTCAGGGTTAGGTATACAAATGTTGATTATACAGGTACCCTTGTTGATAAGGTGTGCCCCTCCCTCCCCTAGCAGTTTTCCTCGACTGCTACTCCCACCCCCCTCTTCCCTGACAGTTTCCCACTACTGCCAATCCCTTCCTTATAGTATTTTGATAATTGTTCAAGGTCCACTTATGAGTGAGAATATACAGTACTCTGTTCTTTGTTTCTGTGATAGATCACTGAGTATGATCAACTCTAAATCCATCCAAGTTGCTGCAAAGTCCATATGTTTGTCCTTCTTTATGACTGCATAATATTCCATTGTGTATATGTAACACATTTTTTTTTTATCCAGTTCAGCTTCGATGGGCAGCATGGTTGGTTCCATGTAAAAGATACCTGCACATGCATGCTTGCTGCAGCTCCATTCACAACTGAACTCATGTTCTTGTGGAAGAAATAGAGCTTTGTCTCTGAAAGGGCCAAAGGTCATTCTGTAATCTTTCAGGATAGTTTGGAGGGAGAAGTGTTGAGCCCTATGGTGGAAAGCCCTTGGAACTGCAGGATGCTTGTTGACCATTTCTGACACTGTTTCACTATCTGGCAACTCTTCTCATCAGGGACATACCTCACATTCTTAGGAAGAAGACTGTCTCCACTAGCTCTGGGATTTGAGGGGTTGGGATGGAAAGGATATTTCATTCCATGTTTGTTTTCATTAACTTCTTCACCAGAAGTGTTTTTGCTCTGCCCCAATACTTTTTATTGACACCAGCAGACTGTGCTATTGTTCCCAGTTTCTTCACTGATGGGGCAGATAGGGATTCTCTTATATAGTCGGTCCTCCATGCAGGCAGGTTCCGTATCCATGAACAAAACAGATACTTTTCTTTGGTTTGATCAATGCAAACGATGCATCTTCTCCAATTGTAGAAGTGATCCTCTGCTTTGCTTCAAGTTTCCTGTGGGCTACCCATCCATCTTCTGTGTCAAACATTTCTGTGTCAAATCATGGAGGCCGAGAAGTCCCATCATCTATTGTCTGGAAGCCGGAGAACCAGGAACACTGGTGGTGTAGTTCAGATCCAAGCCCAAAGATCAGAGAACCAGAAGGATCAGTGTTGTAAGTCTCAGTCTTAGTCTGAAGGCCTGAGAACCAGGAGCACCCATGTCTGAGCACAGGAGAAGGTGGATGTCCCAGTACAAGAGAGAACAAATTAACTTTTCCTCTTTTTGTTCTCTTCAGGCCCTTAATGGATTGGATGATGCTTTACCCACATTGGTGAGGGTGATACATTAATTGATTTTTGAAGTTGTACCTACCTTGTATACCTAGAATAAATTCCACCTGGTTGTGGTATATAATTCTTTTTATACATAGTGGGATTCAATTTGCCAATATTTTGCTGAAGATAAGATATTAGTTTGAAATGTTTTTGGTTTTTTTTTTTCTTCCTGTAATATCTTTTTCTTGTTTTGGTATTAGGCTGATGCTGGCCTCACAGAATAAGTCAGTAATTTATCCCTCTGCTTCTATCTTCTGGAAGAGATTATAGATAAAATATGTAATTTCTTCCTTTTCCTTAAATGTTTGATAGAAATTACCAGTGAGCTTAGCCAAACTTGGTACTTTCTGTTTTAGAAGACTATCAATTATTGATTCAGTTTCTTTAATAGATATTGGCTTATTCAAAGAGTATCTATTTCTTCTTGTGTGAGTTCTTGTGAGGTGATATCTTTCAAGGAAATGGTCCATTGGATTGCATGTTTCCTAAGAAGAAGTTTGCTGTCACTCTTATATTTATTCCTCTATAGATAGTGTTATTTTTTTGTCTGGCTACTTGGATGAAATCTCTTTATTTTGGAGTTTCCGCAGTTTGACTATGATGTACTTAGTTGTCTTTTTCTTTGTATTAATCCTTCTTGGGATGCTTTAAGTTTCTAGAATCCATGTTTGTCTTGTACTAATTTTGGAAAAGTGTCAGCAATTATCTCTTCAAATATTTCTTCTCCCCTGTTCTTGCTCTGTCCTTCTTTCCCTCTGTCCTTTCTTCCCCTCTATCTCCTTCTCTCCCTCACCTACTGAGAGTCCAATTTTCCACACTTTAATAGTTTGATATTGTCCCAAAGCTCTCCGTTGTTTTGTTCTCTCTCTTCTCCTCTCCCTCTCTTTCACTCTTCTCTTTATATTTCCATTTTAATGATCAGTTTTACTGATTTTTCTATCCCTGTATCCAATTAAAAGACTGTGGTGGCCAGGAGTGTGCCACTGCCCTCCATCCTGGGTGATAGAGTGAGACTCCAACTCCAAAAAAAAAAGTATTCATCTCTAATACTATATTTTTCATGCATTTCTATTTCTTTTTTTTCCTTTTAATAGTTTTTTGGCCAGGCTCGGTGGCTCAACCTGTAATCCCACATTTTGGGAGGCCGAGGTGAGTGAATTGCCTGAGCCCACGGGTTCAAGACCCGCCTGGGCAACTTGGTGAGACCTCATCTCTACAATAAATCAAAAAAATTAGCCGGGCGTGGTAGCGTGTACCTGTAGTTCCAGCTACTTGGAAGCTAAGGCAGAAGGATTGCCAGAGCCCAGCAGGTGGAGGCTGCGGTGGCTGGGAGAGGCCACTGCACTCCAGTCTGGGCAACTGAGTGAGACTCCAACTCAAAAAAAAAAAATAGTTTTCAATGTTTTGCTTAGATTTTATATCTGTTCAATATGATGTCCATCTTTTCAACTAAATCTTTCATAATGTTTATCTTGGTTATTTTACAGTCTTTATTTGACAGTTCTAACAACTGGGTGAGTCACCCATTGGTCTGGTTCTGTTGACTACTTTGTCTCTTGATAAGAAATTATTTCTTTGTCTTGCTTTGTTGTGTGTCTCATTTTTTATTGAATGTTAAACGTAACAGGATAGTGGAAACTGAGATGAATAATATTTATGCCCAGAAAAGAGCATGCCTTTTATTCTGTCAGGTAGTTAGTGTGGTGTTGACTCAGTCTAGTTGGGAGTTGAATGGCAGGCTGCTGCTACCTTGTGCTAATGTGGGGCTTGGAGCCCTGAAGCATTCTTCTCAGTGTTCCTGCTTCAGGTATGGCTTTCAAGAGGCCCTGTCATCTCTTTCTCCTGTGCCTGTGTAATAGGAGGGGTGGGGGATAATAGGAAGAGAAAGACTCTTTCTTTTACTTGGTGGTAGGTAGGTTGCTATTACTTGGTCCAGAGCTCATGGAAGGGTGGGGGGTATTTATCAGGGTTTTCTTTTGTTCCAGCCTCAGTCTTGGGCAGGTCTTGTAGACCTGAGACTCATGGGTGGGACTTTCTCAAATGGTCTTGTCAGTGACAGGCTGGCTGGCATACCCTGGTTCTTTTCTACCTCTGTGCACTGAGTATGTTGGAATTGATTTGCACATTGTTGGGAAATAGGCCCTCCAAAAGCTATTGCCATTTCCCTGTTAAAATTCCAGCATTCTACAAAGTAAGCTTTAAAGAGTATAGCTCTGACCCTGCCTCCTGCTTAAAACCCCTCTAGTACACTCCATGGCACCTCAGGTGAAAGGCTTTGAGTTCTGCAGTCTCATAATTCTCACCCTGCCCTTCCTTCTGTTACTTATTTAAGTCTTGTCTTTCTCCCTGACCCCAGACCATCAGTTTTGAAAGCAGGTATCTTTCTGTGCATCACTAGACAAAAAAACAGTGTCTATCACCTAGAAGGAACCGAGTAGCTGTCTCCAATGGATGAATGCACCAATGCAAGCACCCTGTTTTCTCTCTCCTCCTAGAAAAGCCTTCTTGCCCTCCCTTCCAGCAGGAAGACTCCTGCCCAGTGTCCAGGTTCATGCACAGATGACACAGGAAGGCTTTTACCCCTAAGTTTAGGCAGGGCCCTTTCTTGTTCCCCAGCTCTGTGTCTGTCCATCCAAATACACATCAGTATTGAAATTCCTGCGTGTCTGTCTGCTCCCTCTCCGTAGTTCCCCAAGGCAGGGACTATCAGGGCTTGGCCTGCTCCATCCAGTTCCGGGCAGGCCCTTGGTGAGCACACAGTGGTCCTTTGCTACACCAAGGCAGTACTTCAGTGGTAGGTTTTGGGCAGATTCTGTACATGCATGCAGTTAGGATTCTAATTTTAATTAATTTATTTTTTGAGTCAGAGCCTTACTCTGTCACTTAGGCTGGAGGGCTGTGGGCACAACCACTGCTCACTGCAGCCATAACCTTCTGGACTAAGGTGATCTTTCCACCCCAGCCTCCCTAGTAGCTGGGACTACAGGTGTGTGCCACTACACCTGACTAATTTTAAGATTTTTTTTTCTTTAGTGAGAAAGAAGGATTTATTAAGAGGACAGAAAAGCTATCATAGTGGTGGGTTGTCAAGTTTTAAGATTTTTATAGCCCTTTTTCCTGTTATAGGTAAAAGTGAATCATCTCATCCTCCTCTGTAGATAAGAGGACGTGGGCCGGAAGCATGTGGAGTGTCCTACAAGGCTGGAGGCCAGGGCAACTGAGCCGGCACAGAGCCCTGGCGTGGGGCGCCCTGGGGCAGCAGCGGTCCCCAGCTGTCCGGGCTCTAGCCTGCACGGGCTCCAAGCGCCGGGACGAGTACAGCTATGTGGTAGTGGGCGCGGGCTCCGCCGGCTGCGTGTTGGCCAGCCGGCTCACGGAGGACCCGGGCGAGCGCGTGCTACTGCTGGAGGCCGGGCCCAAGGACCTGTGTGCCGGGAGCAAGCGGTTTCTGTGGAAGATCCACATGCCCGCTGCCCTTGTGGCCAACCTGTGCGACGACAGGTACAACTGGTGCTACCACACGGAGCCGCAGCCCTGCCTGGATGGCCGCGTGCTGTACTGGCCACGCGGCCGCGTCTGGGGAGGCTCCTCATCCCTCAACGCCATGGTCTATATCCGCGGGCACGCCGAGGACTACGACCGCTGGCAGCGCCAAGGGGCCCAGGGCTGGGACTACGCACACTGTCTGCCCTACTTCCGCAAGGCTCAGGCCCATGAGCTGGGGGCCAGCCGGTACCGCGGCGGCGACGGCCCGCTGCGGGTGAGTCGGGGCAAGACCAACCATCCACTGCACCAGGCGTTCCTGCAGGCGGCACAGCAGGCCGGTTACCCGCTCACCGAGGACATGAACGGCTTCCAGCAAGAAGGCTTCGGCTGGATGGACATGACCATCCACGAAGGTAGTGTACTACCTCCCTTCCCCAGCTGTGTGGCTTCTCTTTTAAACTAACCCTTATCAAGGCCCATCAGTCTTGGCCCCATCGTGGTCAGTAGGTATGGACAAACTGAGACTGGTATTGGGTGGAAAGGGATGTGACTTTTTGTACCCGTGGATATCACAGAATATAACCAAAGCCCACGAGAAAGGACTTGGGGATGGTGACCCCTTGGGCATCCTCTAGGTCTCTGGCCCCTGCTGCTGTGGGTATGGGAGGGTCAGCTCTCTGGACAAAGAGCCCAAAGGTTTCTAGAGACTTGCAAATGGGGAAACTGAGGCACAAAGCAGCAGCATGACTCTCTCCATCTCCCTGGCTCCTTTCCTTGCCTGGGCCTTTATAGATGGGGAAACTGAGGCACAGAGTGGGGAAAGGCCTTGCTCATAGCAAGACAGAGGCAAGACTGGGGCTGACCCAGGGCTCCTGCTCACCTCTTTCGGATCCTCACCCCTTCTGGCAGTTGCTCCTGGTCTCTGTGTCATCCTGTTGAAGGCTGAAGGATATTTTTTTTAACCTTCATCCAGGAGGTCCCAGGTAGATGGGGACTCCAGTAGGACAGGGCAAACTTGCTCTGGTTCTAGCCCCTTCCTCCTGCCCCGGGGAAGGGCAGGGGGCTGTGCCTGATCACCTCGCTCTGTCCTGCAGGCAAGCGTTGGAGTGCTGCCTGCGCCTACCTGCACCCAGCACTGAGCCGCACCAACCTCAGGGCCGAGACCCGGACACTGGTGAGCAGGGTGCTGTTTGAGGGCACCCATGCTGTAGGCGTGGAGTACCTCAAGGATGGCCAGAGCCACAGGGTAAGTGAGGGACAGCTGGAGGGCCTGGCAGCATAGGGGGCAGTGACCCCAGTGGCTGGACTCAGAGTCGGCAGAAGTCACACTCTCCTCCCCAGCCATATGCTTTCATTCCTGTGATGAGAGGTAGCAGCTGGCAGCAGGAGGTGGAGGTGAGGAGGCTCTGGTCCTGCCACCTGTGAAGAGCTCATGTTGCCCTGGCGTGAGTGTCCTCCTGAGCCTCTGTCTGCCACGCTCACCTCAGAGCAGTCTCCCAGTACCTTCCACACCAGTTCAGGGTGCTGAAGAAGGCTTATACTTAAGGCCTTAAAGCTCATAAGTGATCACATTTCATATTTCTGCACTGTTAGCGGTGTGCCAGAGATTGGCTTGCACCCCTGTGCAGATCTGGCTGCTTACTTTCTTTAAACCCCTCCCTGAGTGCCTACCTTCACTTATTCCATTTAAGTCTTCCCACCCTGTTATAAGACTATGGCTACTGTCTGGCTGTGGCAGAATGTATTAGAGATGGCACACACTTGACCATCACATGCCACAGTTGTGCATGCAGGTTGCTCTCAAATAGCAACACCGCCAGTGTTCTCTCCTCAACCCTCAGACCTGGACAGGCTACCCGCAGCAGCAGCGTGTTCCCAGCATGCCATGTGGATACATCCCAAGGCCACGTTCTTGTGATGCTGGTCCGTGAGTCGAGAGAATAGCTAGTTTTTTTGAAGTGTGACCTGGTTGACCCTCTGCCTCTTCCAGGCTTACGCCAGCAAGGAGGTGATTCTGAGTGGGGGTGCCGTCAACTCTCCGCAGCTGCTCATGCTCTCAGGTGTTGGGAATGCTGATGACCTCAAGAAACTGGGCATCCCTGTGGTGTGCCACCTGCCTGGTGAGCTCTTCACTGCCGCCCCCCAGAGCTTATCTCTGCTCAACATAATGGCTTACTGCATTTTATCAGCATGGAGTGGGGAGATATGAGAGTCGGTGTTCCTTGGAACTGTCACATCCTTCCCGTGAGCCTGAAGGTCCCAGACCTCACTGGGCATTCTTACCTCTAGCCCCAAGTCTTTGTGTCGTTTTCCTTCTCCATTCCTGGCCAACCTATCCCCCTTGGAGGAGAGCACTCTCCCACAGGGAGTGTCTGTCTGTGTAGCCCTACTGGACCAGGTGTGTCACCAGGGCAGCTCTGCGGTGAGAGGACCCAGACTTTGTGTTTCCATCCACAGGACTCACCAGCTGCCCTGAGCACTAATGAGGTCCACTCAGTGCTTCCCTGCCTGCCCTTTGTGTGAAGACCTAAACTGTATGGCCTATCTTTGATGCTCTTGAGGGCCTGGCTCTGTCTTGCCCTCCCCATAACCCTCCTCCCAGAGGGTGGAGCTTTTGTATGTTTAGGCTTCATTACGAGGGGCCTACTCCATGACAGTGTCCTACCCAGCATCCCCTTGATCTCAGATGAGCTCACAAGGGCTGTGCAGCATGACAGGGCTGCTTCCCTGTTTCCCAGGCTGGGGTGGAGGGTGCTGCTGCCCATCCCTCTGGCCATTACCCCTCAGTGAGTGGTGCCTGCTGCAGGCATGGGCTCTGCTCTCATGGAGGGGCTGCTGGGGAGGGCTGACCGGAGACACCTAGGAGTAAGTGACGAGGGCAGGTGGCCTTGGTAGCACCTGAGAGAGGCCAGACTTGACCCTGAGTGCAGGAGTGGCATCTCAGGGAGGCAGCCTATAAGCTGAGACCCGGGGACTGAGCAGAAGCTGTCGCAGAAGATAATAGATAGGGAAGAATTTTTGAAACCAAGGGGGATGTTGAGAAGCCAGCTAACCCCTCTTGACAGCCATTTTTCTTAACCACTCCCTCTGTTTCAGGAGTTGGCCAGAACCTACAAGACCACCTGGAGATATACATCCAGCAGGCATGCACACACCCCATCACCCTCCATTCAGCACAGAAGCCCTTGCGGAAGGTCTACATTGGTCTGGAGTGGCTCTGGAAATTCACAGGTGGGTACATTCATCTGTGATCACAGGGGAGATGGTCTGTGGGACTTGTAGCCTCTCTCCTGAGAAATCAAGCAAGGGTTCTGGCCTCAGATGCTGGGTTTAATGCTGAATTATGCCATTTACCTTAGCCCTCAGCCTCAGTTTTCCCATCCACAATATGGGAATACACAGTTCCTGCCTAACAGGTTGCAGTGAGGACAGAAGCATTAGCACATGCAAAGGAGCTTAGCATAGGGCTTGCTCAAGGCAAGGCTCCTCAAGGGTTAGGCACTACTCTTCCTCACAGATGGATGGCAATGGCCTCATGCTGCACACCATGTGGGGGCCAAGAAGGCAGGAGAAGAGCACAGAGGGAAACCTCAGTCTAGACTCCAGAATTAGCATCCATCTTCCAGTATATTCCTTGTGTTTTCTAGCTGCACCTCAGTGTTGCCTAGGCCAGGAAATGGTACTTTGAAATTCTACTCTTCCATTCAACCTATACTTCTAGCACACCTACTGTGTGCTATGTGCTCTGCCAGGTGGTGGGGAGAGCAAGGAGGCAGGTGACTTTGACAGTGGTGGGACTGGCCCAGGGAGAGGGCAAAGCTGAAGCCCTGTTTAGCAAGTAATTGATATTTACACCATGGTGCTGGCTGAGCCACTTGGGAGAAGGAGGACTGATGTGGACAGGGCTTGGGTCCAGGTACCAGAATTGAGGTCAGGAAGAAGAGAAGTCGCCCAGGAGGAAGGAGAGAAACCAGGAGTGGCTGGCCCGCCTGCCACTCCCTAACAGTCTCTTCTCTCTCATCCTCTTCTGATCCTCAGGGGATGGCGCCACAGCCCATCTGGAAACAGGTGGGTTCATCCGTAGCAGGCCTGGAATCCCCCACCCAGACATCCAGTTCCATTTCCTGCCATCCCAGGTGATTGACCACGGGCGAGTCCCCACCCAACAGGAGGCTTACCAGGTGAGCAGACAGAGCCTTATCCCAGAGGGATGCTTCCTTCCCTCCATTCAGGAAGGTAAGATGCTCTCGTCTTCCAAGACAGTGTTCTCCCCACTGCAGCAGGACTTCAGGGTACGGTGCACAAAAGCCTGTCTCTTGGCCTCTGATTGCTCAGCATGTCTGAGTAGAGAGGGGAGCAGGACAGCTCAGTGAGTCAGTCTGTGTGGTGCATGCCAGTCACGACTGCAGCAGTTTGGGGCATATGTTCTAGGATCCAAGCACTAGATGTGGGACCAACAGCCTCGGCCCTGGGATGGCCATCCCTGAATGTTTTGGACAATGGAGTTTAAGGCCAGGAGGAAGGAGTGATTCACGAGGTGGTTTTTCATCACTGTGGGGGTAGGGATAAGATGCAGGCAAATGCTGGAATGCGTTTGTTCTTAACTGACCAGAGGCCCACAGGCAGGAAAACGGGCTGATGAACTGACTGCCACTGCTTCCTCTGGGTTCTTCTAGGTGCATGTGGGGACCATGCGGGGCACAAGTGTGGGCTGGCTTAAACTGAGAAGTGCCAGTCCCCAAGACCATCCTGTGATCCAGCCCAACTACTTGTCAACAGGTAATTCAGCACTCCCAACAGGTAATTTGTCTCCCTGGGCCTGAAGCTCGACTGAATGAATGCCTTCATGGGTTCCTGTGTCTCTGAATCTTAGCCCTGGATCACACTTTCCAAGACAAGTTACCCTCTGTCCACCCTTGCCCCATCACTCTAGGCTGTAAACTTGCATGTGCTGCTCCAGAATGTTCTGGGTCATATGAGGTGACCCTGGGACCTCACTTTACACAGTGGGAGAGGTTTGCAGCTTTCAGAACAGTCTATCCTGAAGTGCAGGGAGACCTAGCGGTGCAGATGCAAGGTCTGTATGGATATCTCACTTAGCATTTTTCCTGCTGTCGCTCTGAGCAGCCTCTAAAGGCAAATTATATTCCTGGGCCTGCCTCTTGGCAGGCAGCAAAAACCAGCGGTCCTCATCAAGCAGGTTTTGCCTGGTGATAGCTGCAGGGTACTACCAGCCACACTGTGGTGGGGGCAGGGCACGGGTTCTTATCCTTGCCTTATAGACAAGTCAGATCCCTGATGTAAATCTGGGCTCTGGGGCAGGTTGTATCTATCTAGGGTGCTGTCTTTATTTGAACTACATGGGACTCTTCTTGGTTGTGGTCTAACCACCTGTGGACAAGTGATATGCAACCTGGTGGCTCAGTCTTCCATGTCCCTGAACTTTGTCTTCAAACTCTGTCCCCTCAGGCAGCTTATTGAGCCTCTCCATGCTGTGAACCTTCCAGTGAGGCTAGTATGGTAAGAAGAAGGGTCTTACCTGTTTCTTCTCCACAGAAACCGATATTGAGGACCTCCGTCTGTGTGTGAAGCTCACCAGAGAAATTTTTGCACAGGAAGCCCTGGCTTCCTTCCGGGGAAAAGAGCTCCAGCCGGGAGGTCATGTTCAGTCGGATAAAGAGATAGATGCCTTTGTGCGGGCAAAAGCCGACAGCGCCTACCATCCCTCGTGCACCTGTAAGATGGGCCAGCCCTCCGATCCCACTGCTGTAGTAGACCCACAGACCAGGGTCCTCGGGGTGGAAAACCTCAGGGTTGTCGATGCCTCCATCATGCCCAGCGTGGTCAGTGGCAACCTGAACGCTCCCACGATCATGATCGCAGAGAAAGCAGCTGACATCATTAAGGGGCAGCCTGCCCTCTGGGACAAAGATGTCCCTGTCTACAAGCCCAGAACCCTGGCCACCCAGCGTTAAGGCAGCCCCTGCCTGAGGATGACCAGAAGAAGAATCCCCTGACAAGCCAAGAGGGCTGACACAGTCCTTGCTCCAAAGTTCCTTCCTAAAACTGTCTAGAACACTAGGACACAGGTGGCACCCTACCCAGTGGCTGAGAATTGGATAATTTCCCAAGAAATTAGGTAATGAATCAAACTTTTCCCCAGTGTTTCCCTGTGGGCCATTTGAGGAAGGCCAGCATTTGGGCTGAGGCCCCTTCTCCCTGCCTCCTGGAAGGACAACAGGGGAAGACAGTTAACTCCTGCCATGTTCTTATCTTGTGTCCACATGGCCTTCTCTAACCCAGGGTCCTGCTGCCTTGGGAACAGTGGTTCCTTCTCAGGCCTCCCCTTAAGGCAAGCCCCTAGGAGAACAGGTGCTACATACCCAGCGAGACCTGCAAGCCTCTGAGACCCGCCCTGAGTTCCCCAAGAAAGGAGCCTCCTCCATCACGAACTGTGAGCTTTAGCTGAGGCCCAGAGTCACAGTAGTCAGCTCAGCCTGGGCTGGCACGTAATTCCCATGCCCCTGTTAAAGAGGAGAGTTGCCTCCTGGTAAAGAAACTGGCTTTTTGTTGCTCACATCCTGATTTCACTCTGAGTGAGGCAGGTAACCAGGCTTGGCTGGGTCACTCCACGACCCACCTTGCTGATGCTTAATAAACATGATCAGCCCTGATGAGAGGATTTCTGGACCTTGTTCAGGGACAGAGAGTGGAGGGAATGCTACTTGTCCTCATTACCAAAGGTTTCATGATTTAGCATTTTAAAAGATTTTCCTGTTACTCAGAAATACAGAAAACTAGAGCAACCCCGCTGTACCAGATCACTGCTTCCCACTGAAGCGGCCAGCCTGAGAGAACTCTTCCATGCTGTCTTGGGAAACAGCTCAGCAGCCTGGGCTGCCCAGCCGTAGACAAGGCTGACTAATTCTCATTCTCTAGACATCCGTGGGAACAGACCAGGATGGAGCTGAGACTGATAGAAAAAAGCAGTTAAGTACCACCATGTACCCTGATCCTGCAGAAATGCCACTGAGTAAAAGAAAAATAAATTGGTGGAGATTTGAGTTTGGGGGGAAAAAAACAAGATATAAATAGCATTTACAACAGCTCTTTGATTTTTAAATTTGTTATAACTCAATAATGTGATCCAATAACTTATTTTGAACTGAGATACCTTATCCTGACTGCCCCTACAAGGTAATGAAGACGAACTGCATTTTGAATTGATTTTTTTCTGAAGACATTCATAGCCATCATCAATGGCAGAGAAGGAACGAATTGCCACATGGGAATTTGCAGGGCTGGGCCTGGAACATGGAGGGGTGGAAAACAGGAGATTCAGAAGGTTCAAGGTGGCTTGCAGGCATTGGAGGTCCACAGCCATTCATAGCTTATGTTTTTGAGAAAAGCTTCCAGAAAGGTAGAAGAAAACGAACCCTTCTTACCTTAAAATTTTAAGCAGTTCTTGTTGAATCTTACCTCTATCTTGCTTTATTTTCTATTTCAAGGAAGTGTTAAGAAAGAAAATCCTAAATCTGCCAAGAGACTTGTCCCTCCTAGAAAGGGTCTCCACCTACCCAGCAGCAGGTTGTGGCCATCAGGCCTCTGGGCACAGGGGGTAGGACCAGCAGGAGTCGAGGTGCCAGTCCTGCTGCTCTGAGAGTTCCACACAGCCCTCCTGTCAGAGAGTGCGTTGATTCAGGTGGGAGTTCCAGACCGTGACTGTGCTGACCCTCCTCTTCTGGTACAGAGATGGATGTGGCAGGTGACAGTCACTTAGCTCTGCCATCTCTGCATCCCTGATGTGTCAGCCTCTGAGACGATGACAGATGTAGTCCAGGGCTGTATTTTAAGATAAGCAAAATGATGCATGAAGAGGAGCCCATTGGGGTGTTGCTCAATGGCCTCCAGGCCCCCATCTCAAAATGCCAAGGGGAGTTCCACAAGACCGCATGGTTTAGCCATACATGGAAATGAGTTTCAGAAGAAAAGACAGCAAGTGTCACATGTCCAGAGCCTGTGTGAGAGTTCCACTGTGCGAGGGGAAGCTTTCACTCCAGAAAGGGGCTGTCAGCGGAGGAAGCCAGGGTGGGGAGAAAACTTCAAGTGGGAGGGCCATCTACAAAGTGGGGGTGCAGAGACTCTCTCAGCTTCAGTCTCATAGGGGATCAGGACCCTTGGCAAAAAGCCAGCAAGACCGAAAAAAAAACCCTTAAAAATGTGCTTTGCAAAAACAAACAAACAAAAAATGGGTGAAAGAGCACAACAGAATACTGTGCATGTGCCCAGAGCCCTGAGGAGCCCTGGCCAGCTAAGACACTTGTGTTGAAGCCACCGCATCAGCAGAAGGCTGTTCCCGATAGAATAAGGGAAAGAACATGCAAGGGGCAGGGTGAGCTGCCTGGGAGCCCAGAGCATCCGCCAGCATGACTAGAGAGGGCACATCCCGAAGTAGGAGTTAAAGGCCCTGAACATAAAGCAGAGCTTCCAGCACAGGCTGCAGGCACAGTTTCTATAAATTCAAATGGAGTCTTCTCTACACCAAACTATGTCCCTCAGCCCAGAATGTGTCTTATGCTTCCCCTGTTACACGAACTTAACATCAGCTCTAAATATAGATGTTTTTTTCTCTTAAAAAAAAAAAAACTAAAAAAAATCCTCTCCACTGGCCCAGTATGTCCCCAAGACCACCCTGTCACTCTCGTCCCATTGTTGGAAACCAAGTCCCAGGACTGCTCTTCTCTCCTGCCTTCCCTGTCCCCCGTAGAGGAGGAGGAGAAACATTTTAGAGAAAAACCCTTTCAACAAAGCATAGCTGGAGTCGGTTTGTGAGTTGGGGTGAGCTAGTCAGGGAGGCAGGGCTCTATGCATGACATCAGTTCTATTGCTAATATCAGAGCCGCTGCAGGAAAACAACTGGCAAGGACACTTAAAGACTGTAAAAAGTACACCATGTGGCATGAAATCCACCACTGTGGTTTCTTTCCCAGAGCAGCGTCAGCAGTCAAGTGGGAAGTGCACCCAGGCACCCTGTTGCCAGACTTGCCTCATGGCAGAGCCCTCACCATGCAGCAAGAGGCCCCACAGTTCGCACAACCCACCTGCCTGGCCTTCGACTCGTTCTGAAACTTCTTAGGATGCAGCTGGGAAGTGCCATCTGGCTAAGTGGGGGTCCAGCTGTCTGGGTGGAAACTGAGGTCTGCACCTTGAGCAGAAACGGTTCTTAACGAGGTGATCGCTGTCAGTTGACGGTTAAATCATAGCTGCCATTTCCATTTTGTAAAGATATGAAAAACAAGATTAAAGAAACTAGAAGTATTATTCCTGTGGACAGAAAATGATTTTGGAGGGAGGACCAAAAAAGAAAGACATTTAATCTTAAAACTTTCCTAAAACAAAGGGGAAAATATATATTAAAAACATGCTCTACAACTTGAAATTTTTCTTACAAAGAAAAATTTAATATCAGATGAGAGGTTGAACCAGGCTTAAAGCAGACATATATCAGGAAGTGGTGCAGCCTGTAAAAAATGCCAGTTTTTCAGTGCTGACTTAGGAGAAGATCATTGCCCATACCAGACACTCGGGGTCCTGGTGGCGATTTTGACCTGATGATGTCAAGCCACATGGTAAGGCCAGTGCCCAGCGGAGAGACGCAGAGTCAGAGATAATGTTGACAGTGGTGTAGCCCTTTAGAAGAAACGCGCTCCCTGCAGCTGGTTATGAAGTTGCCATTGGCACCCAAGGAGCCAGGAGGATAAGAAGGAATCTATGTCCTCACAGAGTTGGGCCCCTTCGGAAGCTCTCCCTGGCAGATGCCAGCTCTGTGCAAGGAGAGCTCCCAAATATGACAAAATTATTACACAGTTTTATTCTGAAGAACATTTTGCATTTTAATAAAAAATGATTTATGTCAGGAAATAGTCATTTACAAACCTTGAAGTGTTTTTGCCTGGATCTGGAGTAAGAATGTCTTAAGAAGAGGTTTGTAAGGTCTTTATAACAAAGTGGTGCTATTTACAAAAAAGCATTAACAGGTTGTCTATGTACTATTTAAAAGTTTTGGACCCAAATTGCTATCTGTCTTTTTGATTGCAGGGAATCCCTGCCAAGGTAACTTGACAAAATCGGCATAATTCTATTAACAGAAAAAGGAAGTCTTGATGGTTCTAATGATCCAAAAGTGGGTTTTCATCAGGAAGTACAATCGGAGTGTGAGTGCATTCTAATGAAAACTTCAGCCCTCATTCAATTGCATATAAAAGCCCTCAAAGAGAACACACAGTACAGCAACGTTTTGTGAAAGGCAACAATACGATTTGTACAGACCCCAACATTCTAATCCTAGAGATCACCATGGTGCTTCCTCTGTCCCCCCACCCTACCCCAGCACCCCTTATTTCTTAAGACAGGCAGCACCACCAGTCCCTAGGGGACAAGAGCAGAAATACTTCATTCACCTGTATGATTATTTCTGTACCAGAGATGCAAAAGTGTCACGTGTAGGCAGCTGAGAAAACCAAAACTGTGGTGCCACAGGGACAGAGTAGCCAACTCAACCTACTCTTCTGTAATTAACTTACCACAGGGTTAGAAAAGTCAAAACCAAAGACAGCTGCAACCCATGGTGGATCAAAAGGTACAATATCAAAATCATAGAACTCTTGCCCAAAGAAAAGACTGCAAACAGTCATCTGGTGTATCTTGTGTAAAGATAGGTTTATAGTGACTCAAAATATTTTAGAAAAATTTCTGTAGTGTCAAGTTCGTTTGAACCCCAAATTTTACCCCTAAAGGATTTTTACTGAATAAATGAGAATTGGCTCTATTTCTTCTACCTCTGTATAGCCCAAGTAAAAATACTAATAATTTCTAGATTTCAGTGGGGAACTACCAATTATTAGGACCCATGGATATTGCTGCAGTTCAAATACGGTACAATAATTACAAAATATAGACCATCTCTTTACAAATACAAATTAGAGTATATTACAAGTCATGTACAGTAAATCTATAATTTTTAAACAAACTAACGTATCTAAGTTTACCTGGTTGCGAGTGCATTATTATTCCAGTTTACAGTTGCCCTTAGCGTGACAGTCAGAAATCGACCATCTGAGTGATATTCTCTTATGTAAACTGGTGTCACATAACAGAAAACCTTGTTTATAAGGTCCCATTCTCCTCTCATGAGGACCGCTGGTAGGTGGGTTCTGTCTTGTACATTGTATTTCAGAACAGCTAAACAGGAACCAGGAAGCAGTGTACTGGGGGGAAAGGGATTAAAAATGGATATGTTGGGCCC